TCAACTTAAACTTTTCTGGGAAACCGAAGAAATAACTGAATCCCATCCACCTTCCGATGCTGATGCATTTTGCGAAAAATTTTATCGATACACCACTTATCGGCGGTCATATTGCCATTTAAATCCGAGTTTCCTTCTAACCTCACTCTCGATCCATCTCGTTCGCAAGCAATGAAGCAAGCGATTAGAATGGAACACCCGCCTAATAAAAACCCCGATCTCAAAGAAGAGTATAATCGAGTATTAGAAGAGTGGCATACAAAAGATGTACCGCAAAATCCTTCTACACGAAGATGATCCACAGTACCAACGAATTATCTTTCGTAGGAAAAACGAGACTAAACTCACGGACTTTGCTCTTAAAACCGTCACCGTTGCACCAGTTGGCAAACACGCACTTTGCACCAGTTGGCAAACGATTCAAAAGCTTCTTGTCCTCTAGCCCAAATAATCCTGACAAAGGAAACGTATGTCGATGATATACTATCCACTCTTGTGTAAACGCTCAGACTCAATTAATTCAATGCCTATTCTCTGCTGGTTTTCCCCTGGAGAAAACTACTGCTAATCACACCAAAATACTCAGTCATATACCAGCTGAAGAATTGCTTGACTCGGATTTCCTAAAATTGAATTGTTCAAGTTCTACGAAAACGCTTGGTATCCGATGGCATGCCTTAAACGATTCCTTTTCATGCTCTATTGATCCCATCAAATCACAGTCGAGTGCTACAAAGCGGCAAATTTTATCTTCGGTTTCGAAACTTTTTGACGCCGCAGGGTGGCTAGCGCCTATTATTATTAAGGAAAAAAACTCTTGCAACAATATTTGTAATTAGTCAAAATGAAATGCATTGAGTTAAGACACGCCTAATAAAACTAGCTCAAGAAAGGCATTACCCAAATGAACATTTAAAGCTTTCGAATAAATAATCTATTCCCAAAAGGAGTTCGCTTTTGTCGTCAAACCCCTTTATAGATCCAAATGGGCTCTTCCGAGTAAATGGCCACTTGGCAAACTCCTTCCTCCCGTACAACGAGAGATATCCTTTTATTTTACCGGAAACGAGTCGATTCTGTTTGTTATTTCTTAAATTTTTACATAATCTGCTGATACACCCAGAGCACCAACTGATGATCAGGACTGCAAGGCAAGAATATTTCATCCCTAGACTCAAGTCGACAGTAAAGTCTTGCATACGCAACTGCAAAACATGCACGATTTTCCAACAAACCACCAGATCGCAAATCATGGCGGCTCTTCCGTCGGAACGTTCAAACTTCTCCCTGCTTTCACTTACACCGGGCGTAACTTCGCAGGTCCTTTCGATGTCAAATCATTACCACTCCTAAAATCACCGATGCTCATAGGATATGTTTGTGTTTTCATTTGTTTTTCGACTTAGAGCCGTGTTCAGATCTCTCGACCAAAGCCTTTCAAGCAACATTCTTCCGTTTCGTTGGAAGACGTGGTCTCCCACAACGCGTCTTTTCCGATAACGGAAAAAACTTTGTAGACGCAAGTCGAGCTTACCAACAAGATTTTCAACGATTCCTCAAAGAGTCATCAGATGACGTACGATCCCAATATTACCTACATGATTTTGACTGGTAGTTCTTACCACCAAACGCTCCTCACATGGGCAGCCTCTGGGGAGTTTCAAACTTCATCTCAAACGAATTGCTGGGAGTAATCATTTCACATTTGAGGAGATCGCCACACTACTGGCTCGCATTGAAGGAGCTTGCACAGCCAGAATCCCAAATTGACAACCTTTCGCTTCGAAATCGATGGGAGAAATTGAAGTTGTTGCATCGGCATTTTAGTCAACGCTGGCAAGATGAATATCTTAAAGAATTACATCAAAGATTTAAGTGGAAACCTCCGAATCAGAATCTAGCGATTGACTTTGTGGTCATTAAAAATGAATTGCTACCTCCAAATGAATGGCGTTTAGGCCGAATTGAGAGGGTTTACCATGGCTCTGACAACAAAGTCCGCGTTGCAGACTGCATCGATTAACCATATTTTTTTTAAACCTTTCACTAAAATAAATCTCCTTTCCAGAGACCAGAACCATGCATCTGAGGGGGCCAACGCCGCACACCACAAGACCTTCGCGTGCACCTCGAGATCCAAATGTGCATCAGTGCCTGATTTGCTTCCGCTACCATGCCCTACGGTTCTGTCCGGAGTTCCAACTCATGAGAGTGGAGGAGCGTCGAATAAAGGTACGGGTCTTAGACTACTGCCCTAGCTGTTTGGCCCGCACCCAAGGCCACGTAAGAGATTGCCATTCGTCCGGCAGGTGTAAAATATGCAAGAAAATGCACCACACTCTCTTACACCGTCCGACACCCGAAGAAGAGGCAGCTCCGGTTCAGGTCTCACAACCACCAACGCGACCAATGGATGCCAGAGTGCATATCAAACTTGATCGACCAATTAGGGCGTTGAACCGCTTGCGAACTACACTTGCACCGGTGACACGGGGCCGGCATGTTTACTTGCGCTCACTTAAAGCTCTTACGTGACTTGCGTTCATAAATTTCTTGCGTAAATGCATCCCTGCAGGACTTCCAAACTACAAGCATCCCTGCTGTAGTTGGAAGGTTAAAAATGAATTTCCCTTCCCGTGTTACGAGCAGACACATTGAATTCGCCTTGTGGCCTATAAATATAACTTCCGCCTTACCATCCTTCTTCTTACCTTTTCAACCAGAGACCAGAGCACACACAAGCAACGTGGGAAGTTGAGACGCATTTTTCTTTACATCAAAGTGGGACCTTGGCACTTATATATCTATATTCTTACAACGTGGGAATCACCATTTTTCATTACCATTCAACAAAACTCATAAGTATAACATCCATTTCACACGATCATTGCTTTTCATCTAAATACATACACGTATATAGGTAAATGTAAATTCCCATTGTACTGATAATATTTTTCTCATTGAAATATCTTATATTAACGCTCAATATTATATCATTAATTTCATCTTGAATTATATAAGCTCAAAATAAGTCATACAGTCTACTTACATAAATTTCTCATTCATTCCTAAATTGTTGCTTACATACATAAATTGCTCACTCATTCCCAAATTGTTACTTACTTAAATTTCACAAATTGTTATTTATATCCAGTTCTCATTCATTGTAAATTGCTACTTACCTGAATTTCTCAATCATTCCTAACTTGTTAATTACCTACATTTCTCATTCATTCGCAAATTGTTACTTAAATATATTTGTTTTCATTCACTCCACAATTATTAATTACATAAATTTTCATCATCCAGTAAAACTAGTTAGTAAGCCTATTTGTTAAATAAAACCTGAATTGAAACCGAATTCACATAATCTCGCTTCATTTCGCAGCAATGTTTTAAATTTTATATTTAGCCCTTGAAAACTTCATATACAATAAAAAAGGTGAAGTGCAATAATGTCAATGGAATTAATGTCAATTGACATAAATTCACTTTTGTAAGGGAATTAATGTCAATGACATTAGCACACAGGCCAAAGTGAGTTAATGTCAGAAGAATTCCGGAAATAATGTCATTGACATTATTTTAACATTCCTGACATTAATACACAATTGAAAAGTGAATTAATGTCAGAAATGTTAAAAATCATTAAAACTCTACGGTGACGCAGCTTTAAAGGTGTATAACATCACGGCGCACAGTGTAAGATTTGACCCAGCTAGCTGCTTTTAATTCTGTAATTCGAAAACTATTGTAGATAGATTAATGAAATTTTTCACAAGATACGTTATAAGATAGGCGAAGCTTTTTCAAAATTGGTCATTTAAAGATACAGCCCTATTATATAACTGTAATTTTTAAAAAGGCAAAAACAATCTGAAATATTTAACTAACTACAATAGCTAAAATGCCCAAAATTGACATTTAGAGTTTCCTTATAACAAGGAATTGTAAACTGACAGAAATGGACTTAAAAATAATTTTTTTTTTTTACCGATAAAAAAGTCAACTTGGGTCAACAAAATTCCGATATAAGTTCAATAGTTCTCCCGGTCGAGATAAAATGCAAATTAATTACTCGAAGAAAATAAAATTCCTAGTAGGACTGAAAAAATAAAATTTCATCAATACAAGCACTTTTCAGCAGCTAAAGTTGTGTTGTTTAACGTCTTAGAGGAGTGGCAAATAAATTGATATACAAACTTTATCGAATAATCGCCGATAACGAGTTTGCGGGTCTAATGAAATTAATAATTTGCTAAAATTTAATTTAAGTTAACATCGTTTTACTTTAACATGAAATACTCAGTCCTAGTTTACTAAAATCCCAAAAATGTATATTCATTAAAAAGGACATACCTAAAGAAATAAGACCAAAATAGTATTTTAGAAATTGTTGCATAAATCACATAACACCAACAACTTAAACATTGAGCATTAGTTTCAAATATACAAGTTCAAATATTATTGCGCTTGGTAGTCATCCATATCAAATCCCGTCCCGCCCTACACTTTGATTTAAATTTTGTTGTTACTGATTCGTTTTTATCAGGCATTTCCGAAAACATTTTTGACGTTGTTTTGAAATTTGGGGATATAAAATAATTTAATTAATATTTTCTAGAATATGGAAATAATACACTGTGCGGCAGTCCGCGTTCGGACGCCGGGCCAACACGGTTTTTGAAGTCCTCGTAAATTAACCGAAAGTTTAAACATCTGAGAAACCCTGCACTGTATTTTTAAAGGTCATAATGTGGGCAACTTTCTCTTTGGGGCACTTCCTCAAAAGGACAACATCCAGATCTCAACTTAGTTTTCTTGTTTTTAGGCATTTTCTTTTCTGAAAGTTCAACTAAAAAATATCTGTATACTAAACATGTTTCTCGTATTCGTGATAGTGCAAACCTCACGTCTTCATAAATCTAGGATGCTTCTAATAGTATTTGCTTAAAATTTGAGGTAAAACTAGTGCTATAATGATACTTCTTAGAACTTACTAGACAAGATCCATGAAACTTCTTTTTACACGTTTTGCAAGTGAGTTTCGGCAGCTGACAGGTATCTTGGTGAATTACAGTGTAGCACACGTAACATTCTTCCACACCTTCAAACTTTTTATCCATGTTATATTTCCATAGCGCTAACCCATCAAGTATTGTTCCATTCTATAAATAAAGCAAATTGATTTAGTTAATAATGCAACTACAAAAAACTAAAATTTTGTATGTATTTCCTTTTCAAATGGATCGTAGGAACGACAAAAACTTGAGTACTTCAAAAAACCGTGGGATGATTGAATACCGCGATGACGGTGAAATCTACTACTACCCAAAACTTTAATATGTATTTTAGGAGAAATGAGTATGCCTATTTGAGAGACAAATTTTGTGAGGCTTTTCAATAAAAAACGCAACAAATAGAAGCGATTTTCTACACAGTCGGTGACAGTGGCGCACGGCTTCGCCTTTGTTTATCTTTATACCCGAGCGCACAAAGTACATTTACCTTGCTGATGTAATGGATATAGACTTAAGAATATATATTTTACCAGAAGGACTATATAAATCGATTGAATCATGTCTGTCTGTCCGTCCGTCCGTGACAACATAACTCGTGTAAAAATTAACTGGTCTGGGTTGGTATTGGTCTACCATATAATGGTATTTTTGAAATTTAGCAAAAAATGTAAATTTTAAAGAATTTTGATAGATGTTTGTATCTCAGAAACCGCATAACAGTCTCACCGAAATAATAATAAAAATTGATTGATGCTTACACATATTATATATTTACACATATTATATTTTTATGTGTTATGCCTAATGAATAGTAGTTGTAACACAAAATTTCAACGGGATCGGTCAAGGAATCTCCGAGTTGGAGGGCCTTGAATTTTTACATTTTGGTAAAACATTTCTTTTTTCGAATCCATTAACTAATTATATCTCCTATTATGAACTCGTGCGATGCACGATAAACGCTGGCATTCTGTTATTCTGTATTACGAATCGATGTTGCCGTATGAAATCCGATAGTAGGCGTAGCTGATTTTTGCTGGTTCACAATAAAAAGTGAACAAAAACCACAGCCATTCACAACAATACATCTGTCGGGCGTATAAAAACGATAATACGAGAACTGATTTCACATGATACGTTTGCAAGCGTTTATCGTATCTATCATATGTAAATTCATAATAGGGGGTATCTGTTGTATTTAGAAAATTTTTTCAAACATGTTTTCGATAGATTTTTCTTCATCTTTAAACAGAGAACAATTTAAAAAAATTAAAATTAAATTTTTTCATTTATGGGTCGATTATGGACTGCATCGCAACCTCAGATGGCTTGCCGAAGGGCAGCGCCACTGAAAGGAAAATGTATATTATGAATAGTGCTATAAAGTTGAAGATATTATTGTGGATAGGGAATCCAATCACGCAAATGCGGGGTTCCACAAACGTGGAATCCCGCGCAATTTTTGCGGGATCAGAAATGAGGGATTACACATACGGGATCCGCGCGATTTGCGGGACTACATAAAAAAAAAATTTAAAGCATAAACACACGGCAGCGTTGATCAACTCGGGAATTAACTGCAGTTGATCCGGATTAAGACCGAGTTAATGTGGATCACCGCTGCCGTCTGTTTAAGCTTTAAGAAGACGATGGCGAGTTGTGAACGTGCGTGCTTGTCAAAATGTTCGCCGTGCATGGCTGTATTAAATATAGTTGTATGCGACAAATCGTATGTGACAATACCTGCTGTGAGCAAAAAACTGCATTCAACTTTGACCGGAAAATCGCTTGTGATAAGAAATGTTTCAAGATAGAAGTAGCTACCGCCTTTAAATATTTAGGGGTTAAAGTAGACCAAAATTTAAGTCGGTCTCCCCATATTTCCGCCATTAAACAGTATTTATTGTCAACCATACGTTCCTTCTACCGTCTTAAAAAGTTGTGCTCAAGTAAGATTCTAAAAATAGTGTACCACGAACTTATTCATACTAAGCTGCAATATGGGATAAGCTGTTGGGGTGGGGCATACTTTAATAAGATTTGCCTGCTGCTAATATTACAAAAGTATTTCATACGAGGCATATGCAATGCCAAATGTTTAGAAAATTCCATAGATCTTTTAAGAAAGTTAAATATTCTTCCGATAAAACATTTCTACTAGTATAATGCAATGCCAAATGTTTAGAAAATTCCATAGATCTTTTTAGAAAGTTAAATATTCTTCCGATAAAACATTTATACTATTATAAAGTTCTCAAAATATTCTTTAGAAGATATGGCTTTTCCGCCTATAATTTAAGAAGTTACTCACTTGCTCATATTGTAGCTCCCATGTCTCGCACTACACTATTCCGTAACTTCTACACCACAATATCATGCAAACTTTTTAATATTCTTCCTAAGTATCTACAACTGATTACAAGGTTATCTATATTTTTTAAGGAGGTGAAATTATGGCTTCTGGCTTCAACCATGCTGACATTGAAACTTTACTAAGACACACTATTTAACGTTAAGCTTTCTTCTTAATTTTCTGCTGTATCCTTAGAGCGTATTTATCTATTTAAATTTACATTTGCCTTGTTACATTAATTTTATACTTTTATATAAATATAATAATTTTTTTAATTATCCTGGCTTTTCTAACGCGCCCCACAATATTGAATTATTTACACTGCAGAAATGGCATTAACGCTGTTCTAATAAACTGAAGAAATTTGCCATAAACAATTTTCTAATATAAGTTCTTCACATGAAATGTACCCCAGTAAAAAAATAATACTTCAACTTCAACTAGTTAAATGAAAAACCAATACTAGATCTTTGATGTTTTTCCCAATAATTGTATTCATTTACTTTATCAAAAGAATATAAACAACTTTATGAATATGCATTAGTTAATAACAAGATAATTTTAGATAATTTTATTGTATCATTATGCTGAAATTTTCGTAGAAAATATTTATATGTGCAACGAAACAAGTGTTAGATTACCGACTATTTTTCAAAATGTTTTAAAGATAATTTTATTTGTTGGTATTGGATTGTATTTCTATTGCACATTTATATTTGTTTTACGCTTTGCGGCATATATTTTACTGAAATTTTGTAGTAAAATTTTTATTATTTCCTCCTATTTGTGAAGTTTGGTTTATTTAAGTTTCAACACGTTATCAATCTGTTTTGAATAAGTAAAAATCTTGTTGGAGAGTAGATCTTACAAATCCCCAGTGGTATTAAAGCCCATATTTGAAGCTAGTTACTCTAAAAGAAGGTATTTTGTTCCCTGAATAACGATTTTATTGTTCGCACGGTGTAAATAACAACGTTTTACCGCTGGAACTTCCATATATCTTCGGTCGAAATGAGCGAAAAAATTGCCAACTTAATGCGCAGAGAATGTTTCTGTAACGTTTATGAATTTCCAAAAAAAAATTTTTTTGAGCCACTCTAATATGCACGTATTCATTTTTCAGCCTTCAACTCTGAAGTTACGGTCAGTCTCACGTGAAAAATATATGCCATTAAAATGCACTAAACTTATGCAGTGAAGAAGTGTCGCTGGCAAATTTGCAGAGCAATGAGATTTTTATTTAATATTTGCCATTCTTTAGCTGTTCTGTTTGTATTTGAAATTTTATATTTAATTTAATTAATTAAAAAGTAGGTACCACCTTAATTTAGAAATCCCTCGGGTTACTTAACTCTGGGCCACTTTTCAAGGCTGCAAGACATTGTCGGGTTTATTTATTTATTTCATATTTTTTGCACAACTAAGACGATTCAATCTTGTACATCAACAAAGAATTATAATCTTATATTAACATAATTTGCCAGGAAAAGATAAACCAAAAAAAAAAAAACTGTACAACAGGCAAAAAATACACGGGGTTTTCTCAACGGTTTCTAAAGCTTTCGGGTCCGCTGAATCCGAATCTGAAGTCAGAATTTTCGGGTCACCCTAGGTTTTCTGTAGAGTACGTGGTTTATCCAGAAACCGGCATTTGTAGAAAAAAAGATTTTGTATTCTTTTTAAAATCATTGAACAACTGCAACTAAATGTTTTTGGGGTCAAAGAATCATAATACATATAATAGTTCTTTTAGATTTTACCGCATACAGGTGTCACTAGTGTCAGTAGTATAAAAACTAGTGGTTTAGTACATTTTTTATTCATTTCATTTTTTAAATCAAATTTTAATCAATATAAATTTATTCGAACGCAAAAAATGTATTTGGAACAATTTTTATTAAATTGGTAAAAAACAACAACAACCTACAATCAGCTGAGGTATAAGTTTTAGATAATTTACTTTAATAGTCTTTATTTAACTCTTAATTATCTACAGATATATTTAAAATTATACAATATTACTGTCCATGATGACGTGACATGATTAGAACCGGTAATGGATACAGTATTTGTTGAAGCGGGAATTTAAGTACTCCGATCACCTGATGAAAATATTTCTCGAAGGTTCGTATTTAGTAGCGGCAAAATTTAATGCGAATGTCTAAATAAGAAGAGTATGCTAAAAATGCAGTTGCCATATAGTGTACGGTTTCAGTTCGAAACTTAGGGTTACCACAGTACTCCCGTCCTAGACTTTTATGGAGCGAAGCGCAGTGGAAGTCGAACTTTGCGACCACTGCGAGTTTGTTTTTCAGCGATGTTGTGACATCTTTCGTACGTTGTTGGGGTGTTATCTTCGTTGAGGATATGTGCTGGCTTTAACCTGTCTATTGAAACGTTAACAAGTTTGTTTCGTAGCCAGACCTTATACATCTTGTTGTTACGTAGTTCTACTTTGCACGGCCCCTCGTATGTCGGTGTTAATGCTAGTTTCATTGCGTCGTTGCGCACGAAAACATGAGTTGCTTTCTCCAGAGTTGGATATATGAACGGTTTTTGTTTATGGAGATGCGATGTATCAGTTGGCGTAATGTCGTGCATGTTCTCTATTAGTTGTCGGATGAACCCTGACTGCGGAACAGGTTTTGTCTTCACGAAGAAGTCCCCGAGTATCTTTAGAGTTGTTCCGTATACCAACTCTGCGGGGGTGGAGTTAATGTCTGGTTTATGGGTTGAACGAAGGCCAAGTAAAATTAGTGGAAGCTTTTGAGACCAGTTGCTTGAGTTACATGT